AGCCTCCAGGTGCCATTCTCCCTGCAACATGTGCTCACATCACGTCACTGTGTCCCAGTTTGGTAATTCCCACAAGATTTTCACACTTCTTCCTAAAGCTGATGCACGTTTAATGGACCACAGGAGAGTGTCAAGATAAACTCAAAAATACACACTTGGAAACCAAAATACTTAGCTGACATTTGTTTTATTGTGGTGATCTGGAAGCCCATCCACAATTGTCTCCAAGGTGTATCTGTGTATGGGGGTTAGGTGTTGGGCTACGAACTGCCAGGTTGGCAGTTCAAACCCACCAGCAAAAAAGGGTCACATGGGGCATGCTGGGCTGTTAACTACAAGGTCAACAGTTTGAATTCACCAGCCCCCGCAAGGAAGAAAGAGGACGTTAAAGTTAGTCTCAGAAACCATAGGAAGCAGTTCTAGCTATCCTGTAGGGTCAGTGTGAGTTGAAATCAACTCAATAGCTGTGGGGTTTGGGGGATTTTTTTTTTTTTTTGGTTGCTTTTTTAGTGCAAGAAAACACTTGAAGTCTTCTCAGTGATTTAAAAGCTCCACATACAGCATGTGAAGATGATTGCTTGAGTAGGGTTGGTTCAATCATTTCAAACAGAGGTCAAAGTCACCTATATTAAAGGGAAAGTAGGAGCTCTCCTGGTGGTAAGTGGTTAAGTTGGGCTACTAACCTCAAGGTTGGCAGTTCACAACCACCAGCTGCTGCTCTAGAGAAAGAGGCCTTTCTACCCCCATAAAGAGTTAGCCCAGTGGTTCTCAACCTTCCTCATGCCCTTTGATACAGTTCGTGTTGTAGTGACCCCCAACCAAAGCATTATTGTCATTGCTACTTCACAGCTATAATTTTGCTACTGTTATGAATCATGACATCCCTGTGAAAGGGTCGTTCAACCCCCAAAGAGGTCATGACCCACATGTTGAGAACCGCTGAGTTAGCCTGTCTTGGAAACTCACAGGGGCAGCTTTGCCCTGTCCTATAGGGTCGCTATGAGTTGGTATCAACTTGATGGCCATGAGTTTAGTTTGGTTTGGTTTGGTTTGGGGGAAGGGAGTGCTGTCCACAAGTTGGAAGTTCATTACCCAGGATTTTCTGTATTATGGATGTTTGGGTGCTACTACAATACTGGAAGCTATATTATCCATATTTCAAACACCATTGGGGTCACCCTGCATGGACAGGTTTCAGTAGAGCTTCCAGATAAGACTAGGAAGAAAAGCCTGAAAATCGATTTCCAAAATTCAATCAAGGAAGGCCTATGGATCTCAACAGGACACTGACTCACTCGCTATGGCCATCAGGAGGGATCAACCCCCAAAAAGGGCAAGCATTTGTTTGATGAAGAGGCCAGTGAGGGAAGGGGTGAGATGGGCTGGCACAGTAACTGCAAAGATAGACTCTTAGGTGCAGCCCTGGTGAGGATGAATCAGGGATTGGCAACGTTTCACTCTGCTGTATGTAAGGTTCCCATGAGAGAGTGTCAATGACGGCAGCTGACTACTTATCTAAGAGTAAGATCAACCTTTGAGTGTTCGGAGGCCCAGACATGGGACAAGGCCTGTCCGAGTCACATGTCTATGTTTCCACACGTGTTCTCCTCTGCCTCCTTCTGTCTGTGTCTCACGAGCCCCATTTCACCAGGCGATGAGCAGCAGCAAAGAGAGAGAACCCGACAAGATCATTTGCAAATTCTAGCAAAAACCAGGGGCCCTGGTGGCATAGAGGGTTATTAGTTGGGCTGCCAACTGCAAGGTCAGCGCTTCAAAACCATCAGCAGCTCCATAGGAGAAAGAGGCTTTTTACTCCTTTACAGAGTTACAGCCTGTGAATCAACCCAATTGCAATGAGTTTGATTAAAAATGAGACAGTGTGAATGGCAGAAACAAGGTCTGTGGATTCCTGGTGAGTATCACTCAGGAATAAACAGGCTCCACTGAGAGCCGGGGACACTGTGGCAGCTGGGGACTAGCTCAGCACCCACTCTACTGATAGTGACAGGCCATGACGTGGCCCTCCAGGTCTGGCTACCACACAGCCTGGTCTGGTCATAAGCGCTCCACTTTAAGCCTATCTGGTCCTTCCATCATTCTCTGTACAGGCTTCATTTTACTCTCTACATTGTCTGAGCTCAAGAAGACTCACACAGTCTCGGACACCCTAGATAGGGCCCTCTGAGTCAGAATCGGCTAGGTGGCAATGGGTATAGGAGCAGCAACTGAGAGAGGAAAAGGGTTATATTGTACCCTCAAGTTCCTGAGTAGTCTCCCTGCAGTAAGCTCCACTCCCTGAGGGCACAAACTGTGATTGTTCTCTGAATGGGGACAAGCGAGGGAGGGACCTGTCGTTCCTGTCCATAGCAGGGTTGCACCTCAAAGAAGCCTCAAATATTTGCCCTCCAAAAAGCATCCTGTCGGAAGCATGCAATGGCTCGAGGCTTTGTTCAGCAGGGCTGCAGTGTACCAAAAGACAAAGGAATTTATCTGAGTTAATAATCCAGTTAAGGCTTGATGGTGGCGTCACAATGCTACTTCCAAGGAAGTGTATTTCTTAAAAAGTATGGCCAGTGGTTGGAGGGCTCCCCGAAATCCCTTAGGGAGAGTTTAAAAAAGCAAGTATGCCCTTTACAGTGTAAAACTGGGAAACGCCATTATTAAGCCGCAGGTTTGGTTTTGTTTCTTATGACCACAGAAATTCTAGGAGTGCTGGTGGCACAGGCGTTAAGCACTCGACAGATACAGAAAGGTGGGCGGTGTGAACCCAAAGGCAACCCCCAGGAGAAAGATGTAGCCGTCTTCTTCCATAAAGATGAGGAGCTTGGGAAGCCTAGGGGACATTTTATTCTGTACCTGGGATCTCACTCACAGCGACCCTTATAGGGCAAGCTAGAACTGCCCCTGGGAGTTTCTATAACTTTTTATAGGAGTGCAAAGGCTCATCTTTTTCCTGCAAGAGCAGCTGATGGTTTTGAACGGTTGTCCTTACAGTTAGCAACCCAATGCGTTTCAGTCTGAAAGGAAGTGAGTTTGGTTTGGGTTTATAAAATCTCCATCAGTCCAAATTGATTGGATGGCAGTGGATTTGGCTTTCTGTTTGGGTTTGGGGTTTAGAAACACTGTGAGAAAGAAAACTGCAACATCGTATCCCACCTTCCCAGGGCCTGCATGAGTCCGACCAGAGGTTGAGAGGTGGGCACACAAAAAGAAGCCCAATATTGAGTTTTCTGTGGCATCCGCTACCTCACACAGCCTCGAAAGCATAAACTAGATTTCCTGTGTATGTTTAAGGCCGTTTGTCACCCTTGCTTATTTTCACATTTACTCGGGGCACCAGTTCCAGCTGCTGTTGAGTAGATTCGCTCACGGAACCCTCCTGCGTGTCCCAATAGGTGTGCATTCCACACAGCTTTCTATCGCTGAGCTTCGGGGAATGAGCTGCCAGACCTCTCTTCTGCAGCACCTCTAGGTAGACAAGAACCCCTAAACATTTCAGTTAGCAGCACCACCATTAACATGGACACCACACCAGGACTTGTTAATCCTGTTAAGAGAAAGACGAGGGAGGCTGTCTGCTCCGGTAAGGATTTACGGTGTCAGAAACCCACAGGGAAAGTTCTTATCTGGCCCACAGTGTGAGCAGGAGTCGGATTTGACTTGATGACCATGGGTTGGGTTGGGTTTGGTGAAAGAAAGAAAGAAAAGAAGATGTGAGGTTACGGTCTCAAAAGATAAATGCAACTATCCAATGTTTAATGTACGAAAAGCTGTTGAGAACATTTTAGATGCCAGTTGTTAAGAGAAGGGTTGACTTTTCACCCTATCAGGAGGTCACCCCCAAGAACCAGCTCTACCCAAACGCCGTCCTGTAGAGTTGCCGATGCCAGCCAGCCAAATATATCAGCTGCATGCCAAAATTTCTCAATTTCTACTTAACACGTCAGCACTTCCGACATTTTAAATATAAATCCTTAACCGCACATATGCCTGTTCCAGCATGACAGTTTCTGGAAGCAACTTTCAGAGTGTTGATTTTTTTTTTTTAAATGTTCCTCGTACATTTCGTGAATGTGCATAGGATTGTTAATAACGCTTTTCAAAAATGGATGTCCCGACTTAGAGCATAAAAAGTTACTAGCTCAAGAGGCATACATAAAAGATTTCCATGGGGTGGTTAAATTTGATGTATTTTATTTCCTTAAACGGTTACAGTGTGGGGTTTATTTTCCAAACGCATACAGAAAATTCCCTAATATGTTGCCAACTTAGAAAGAGTGGCACGAAAACCACCTTCTTGGGCTATATGGAATCCCTAGAAAAACGCCCATCTTTTGATAGGCTATGGGGAGCCCTGGGGGCCAGCAGTGACAAGGTCAGCAATTTGAAAACCGCCAGCTGGTCCTGGGGAGAAAGACGAAGCTGTCCACTATCTTAAAGATTTACAATCTCCAGCACCCACAGAGGCAGTTGTGCCCTGCCCTGCCCTTCCAGAGTCTCTATGAGCCTGAATCCGCTTGAGGGCTGAGAGTTGGTTTTGTCTGATTTATCTGGGTACAGATCCAGACAAGCACATCCCGAGACGTGCTTGCCCCAGCCGGATTTTCTAGGCTATGATGACGTGCAGAAAACATGTACGGCTTGCACGGTTATCTGAAATTCTTGAAAACAAGCGATTCCCTAAGTAGTGTGTCATGACTTTTTTATCTGCAAGCACAAGCACGTGCACTTATTTATATCCCGGAGATTAACTCCAAGTCTAATTTTACTGCCACCAGCATCCAGTGGCGGATTCCATTTTTCTAATTACAAATAGAACCTGAGCTGGATCAAAGGCATTTTGAGAAGGTTCAAACTGACCCCTCTGAAAAATGGAGGGTGTGATCCCATGTAATTAATTAATGCTCAGCCATGCCCTTTGGCACATTATCTGGTGACTGCAGTAATCCATCGGGGCCAGCTGTGCCCACCTGTTGGTGCGCTGTTACTCTTGGACTTACCCAAAAGAGCAGATTGAGGGCGTAGAGCAGGCAGCGCAGGCACTTCACCGAATCTTCTCTGGCCATTGTGAGCCTGGGCAGGCAGAGGCCCCATCCTCTCACCACATCCTATCCCCGCGGGCAAAACAGCAGCAGCGACCTGCAGGGGACACCGGGGGACAGGGCAGATTCTCACCCGCTCTCCACCCCCAGTTGCCCCGCCCTCAGCTGGGTCCCAAACACCAAACTTGCAGCCGCCTTTAGACAGGATAGAACTGTCCCATGGGGTTTCCACGGCTGGAAATCCTGGGAAGCACACTGCCACCCGCTTTCCCCACCCCCCACCCCCAGGAGCTAGGGTGCGAACTTCTGGCCAGCGGTTGAGACGTTAACCACTTCGCCGCCGGAGCTCTGCAGCTAAGTCCAAGAAGGATCGAATTCTAGCTACCCCCAAAAATCATTTGTGAAACTCAGTGGAGTCACCCAAACTCCTCCGAAGCCGCGACGGGCTCCACATAGCACCTGCTGGGAAGAGAAAGGGCCGACCCCCGGATGAGTGGCAGGCGCACTGGAGGCGCCGTGCTCAGGGGACACGCGGCGGTATCCTCTGCATTCTGAAGAGCCGCTCCGTGCACGCCCCTCCTCGGGGACAGCTCTGCTCCGAACGGTCCCAAAGG